GCATAGTAGCAGCAGCTGGAGTTCACATCTTCAGTGGTACACAGGAAGCAGAGAGAATAAACTGGAAGTGGGCAATGCTATGATTTCTCATAGCTGGTTCCAGTGACACACTTCTTCCAGCAAGCCTCCACCTTCTAAAGATTCCATGACTTCCCCAAACAGCACCACCAACTGAGGACCATATATCAAGTGTTCAAAATCTTGAGTCCATGGGAGACATTTCTCATTCAAACCACCACTGTGTGTGTGTGTGTGTGTGTGTGTGTGTGTGTGTGTGTGTGGTATACACATGTGTTTGTGTTTGTGTTTGTATATGTATGCCTGTGCATGTATGTGTGCATGTGGAGGCCAAAGGTCAATGTTGAGAGTTGCTTTCCACTTTGTTTTTTAAATATTTAATGTGTCTGAGTGTATCGCCTGCATGTATGTAAGTGCACCCCTGTCGTGCAATGCCTGTAACGGTTCAAAGAGGGCATTGGATCCTTTGGAACTGGAGTTAGTGTCCATATGGATTCTGGGAATTGAACCCGGCTCCTCTTCAAGAGCAGTCAGTGCTCTTAATAGCTGAGCCATCTCTCCAGCCAGCCCCATCTCCACTTTTATTTTTTGAGACAGGGTCTCTCACCAAACCTGGAGTTTACCAGTAGCTAGATTGGCTTGCTAAAACGTTCCAGGGATCTGTCTGTCTGTCTACTAGCACTGGGGTTATACATGCATGTTGCTGTACCAGGCTTATATGTTGATGCTGGGGACCTGAACTCAGGTCCTCATGTTTGCACAGCAAGTACTTTACCAACTGAGTGTGTGTGTGCATGTGTGTGAGTTTATGTGTATGCTTGCCACAGCATGCATGTAAATTCAGAGGACAACTTTGAGTGTTGTTTCTTACCTTCTACCTTTATTATATATATTAAAAGAATTATTATTGCCCTGGGTATGGTGGTACAGGCCTTTAATAAACCCAGCACTCGAGATGCAGAGACAAGGGGATCTCTGTAAGTTCAAGGCCAGTCTGTTCCACATAGTGAGTTCCAGGCCAACTGGGCCTACAGGGAGATTCTGTCTCAAAAAAACCCAAATTAACAGTATTATTATTGTATGTATGATGTATGTATATGAGCATACATGTAGAGGTCAGATGATAACTTTTGTGAGTCAGTTCTTGCTTTCCACCTTTATGGGGGTTCTGGAGATCAAATTGAATTGTCATGCTTTTATTGCATGTGTCTTTACCTGCTGAGCCATCTTTCCATCCCAACTTATTTTTCTTAACTTTATTATTATTGTGTGTGTGTTTATGATTGTGTGTGTGTGTGTGTGTGTGTGTGTGTTAGGAGGGGGTCTTACACGTGCAGAAGTCAGAGGACAACTTTGTAGAGTTTGTTCTCTCCACATTAATGTAGATTCTGGAGAATGAACTCAGGCTGTCACGCCTATGCCTTTCCTGGCTGAGCTATCTGATCTGCCCTTCACCTTGTTTTGAGAATAGGGTCTCTTATTCCCTGGTGTGTCTGCCAGGCTAGCTGGCCTGTCCACTGCCAGGGATTCTCCCATCTCCACCTCATTTTGCCATAGGAGCACTGAGATACAGACACATGCACCTGTGCTCAGCTTTGTTTTCTTTAAAGGTTTATTATATTATTTTTAAGTGTGTGTGTGTGTGTGTGTGTGTGTGTGCGCGCGCGCGCGCACGCACACATGTATTTGCCATGAAGGCTGGAGGTGTTGGATCTCCTTGAAGCTGGACAGATTTAATAGATAGTTGTGAGCCACCCAACACCAATGCTGGGAATCGAGCTCAGGTCCTCTGCAAGAGCGGTATGTACTCTTAACTCCTGAGCCATCTCTCCTGTACCTGTGCTCACATGGCTTGTATACATGGGTTCTGGGGATTTGAACTTCCGTTCTCACGCTTGCACAAGTGTTTTCACTCATTGAACTGTTGCCCTGGTCCTCCTCTTTTTTGGGGGTGGGGGTGGCCATGTAGCCCAAACTGGCCTTGAACTCCTGGTCCTCCTGCTTCTACCTTGTGAGTGCTGGGATTATAGGTGTGCATCACCATGCTCAGTTTATCATGTAACTTTTGGAATTGCTGACTCATAGGTCATTGTGTGTATAGTTCTTTGAGGAGCTGTTGTGCTCTATTCCTGAGCATGAGCAGGTATGCCATCTCATACTCTCAGCAGCAGTGCAGGAAGGCTCCATTACGTACTCCCTAAATCTGCCGTTTTTGACAGAGTCCTCTAACTTGTGGTCTTCTTCCTCAGCCTTTTGAGTGCTGGAATTATAGGCTGTGACGCTATTCCTGGCTCCTTAATTTTTTTTTTTTTTCTACAGACACGGTCTTGTTTTGTAGCCCAGGCTATAATCCACCTGCCTCAGCCTTCCAAGTGCTGGTTTGCTACAAGTATGTCCTACCACAGCCAGGCATTGATTTTCATAATTGCCTAGATACAAGCTTATAATGGGATTTTGAAATTTTTATTTTATGTGTATGAGTGTTTTGCCTGCATGTATGTCAGTGCACCTGTGTTGTGCAATGCCCTTGGAGGCCAGGAGAGGGCGTTGGATCCCTGGAAATGAAGTTATGGATGGTTGTTAGACACCATGCAGGTACTGGTACTGAACCTGGGTTCTAGACTGTGTGGGTGCTGGGAACCAAACTCAGGTCCTCTGGAAGAGTAGCAAGTGCTTTTAACTGCTGAACCATCTCTCCAGACTTGGCCCACCATCTCTTAACACTGTCACATTGGGAACTGATTTCAGCATGAGTTTTGGAGGGGCAGATCATACCCAAGCCATAGCATTCTCCAATTATCCTTCTCATTTTGAGCATGCTGTGTCAGAAACATAGAGGAACATGTTCATGTCTTTCGACAATGTCAAAACATTAATCGATAATTATACTAATAAAATAATGGTAATAGAAACAGAATAACAAATTCACAAGGTATGGTGATTTTAATTGCAACAATTTTCCAGATACTCATACTTCCTTAATAACGCTGACCAGGGTAAGCACAGGTTTGTTTTTTTTTCCCATCTTAATTACTAATATTAACTCTCAGATTGCACATTACAAATTAGATAATAACCTTTTCCAGTGGTGAAACCTCCCTACAGAACATGCTACTCACAAAGAAATCTCCCGTTTCCAGAGGAGAAGAGGAAACACAAAAAGAAACACCTAGTGCAGAGCCCCAATTCCTACGTTGTGGATGTGAAGTTCAGGGTGTTAGAAAGTCACTGGGGTCTTTAATCACATGCAAATGACTGTCTTGTGTGTTGTCTGCGCCACTGTTCGCTGTCAGCCTACAGGCAGAAAAGCAAGGCTCACAGAGGGACATTCCTTCAGGAGAAGCAGCACTGAAAATACCCTGAATGAAGACGAATAGGAAATCATCCCAGTAAACACGTTTTGGATTGAAAAAAAAAAACCCCACATAAATTGCATAGTAAATATATCTCTATATATGTCTATGTGTAGGTTACAGAATTGATGAAAGAGTTAAGAGGCCATGCAGAGTTCAGGAGGCTACAAAAGTCCTGAGAAGCAGGAAAGCTGGTCGAGATGTGGAGTCTCTGCGGTAAGATGGCCAGCTGAGTCAGGCTGCAGCAGTCACAGGTTTGAGAGGGAAGCTGCAGAGTTGAGTCCAGCTGCAGAGGCCAGAGAGCAGCACTGGGTCCAGATGATGAAGGGCATAGAGATGGCACCTGGATGGCATCCAAATGGGCAACAGGACAGGCAGGCAGCAGCTGAGTAGTTGTGTCAACAGCAGGGGCCGAGCTGAGCTAAAGAAGGCTGGGAGTTCTCTGCTCACAGCAATTCCTACATGACAGGCTGGTGGGCACTCTTGGCTATTGCAGTGCTAGGTGTCACCCTCCTTAGAGGGTCCAGGTGAGGGGTTGCACCCTTACCTTAGTCTAGTGTTTCTAAGAAGTTCTTGGTTTCTCTGATGGGATTTTAGAATGTCCAATGTGCCATTGTAGTTCCACTTTACCTCGATAAACTTAGAGGGTGGCTCCCTTTCTACTCCAGGAATAAATAGCACATGCATTAGTCTTGCTGCATGAGGGTGCCAGTCCCATGTCCACCTGTGTGCGTAGTTAGTCGGCATCTTTAAATGGACTCAAAAGCTTCTTGTAAAAGCGAGTCTCTCAGGGCTGGGCACAACCTCAAAAACCATTGCTTGATACAACACAGGCTAACTTAGAGCAGGATACAATCTGATTTGCCACAGCCTACTAATCCATTTTATCTATTCCAGATGTGTCACAGAACTAGAACCAGATTAACGGAGTCTTTTGTATATGGCATCTTTTTCTTCTTTTTATTTCTTTTAGTTTGAGACAGGGTCTCCTCTAGTTCCAGGTGGCCTAGAACTCGCTATGTAGACCATCCTGGTAGTGATCTCACAGAGATCTTCCTGCCTCTGCCTCCCAAGTGCTAGGATTAAACCACCATGCCTGGCTGTATATGGCATCTTTGATTTAGCATAGTTCTACAGGGTTCCTCCATGTTGTAGTGTGTGTTAGAATCTTACTCTTTTTATGACTGAACAGTATTCCTTCATGGACCTTCCCCCTTTTACTTATTCATCAGTTGATGAACATTGAGTTGATTCCACTTTTTAGCTATTAGGAATAATGCTGCTCTGTATATTTGCGAGCAGGTTTTGATGTGAATATGTTTTCCTTTCTTTTGAATACATACATGGGAGTGGAACTTCCAGATCATATGCTAATTCTGTCTAGCATTTTGAGGAGCTGCCTGTTTTCTGTAAGGGGTGCTGTGTTTTATGTTCCCAAGAACAACATACGAAGTTCTAATTTCTTCACATCCTTGCCAGTCCTGGTATCTTTCAAACCCTTCAAACTGGCCTACCTACCTATAATTCTGTGTTTTTTTTCTCATTAACATTTCTAAAACACAGGTAGGCTCTAGCACTGTGGTGTTTCTGGCTCTTCCTGGACCTTTTCATCTGTTGTTTCCTCCTTAGGGGATTTGTTGACTGGCACATCTTCTACCAGTGATGGGAAGTGATCCTCCGTGGTGGTGCTGAATCTCTGAATATGGTAAGAACCAATGCCTGCCTCCCTGTGTTGCTGGTGCCAGTGTTTTCTGTCACTTTGCCCCTGGGGATAGGGGCATTTTCCTGGTGTACCCTTCCTCCCAGGGGGCACTGTTGGTGCACATATGGGTCTGGATACTTAACTGGCTGTTGAAGTTGCTTATAGGCCTTCATCACATTTGTTGAAAAGACACAAAATTAGCATGTTTTGATAGGATTGTTAATCTCCAGGTCTTCCACTGTGTTGAGCAGTAGCTGGGTGTCCCCAGCCTCTGTTCCTTTTGCAGTGGACAGAATCCAGGATGTGCTTTCCACATGGATTGACATCATCCCCCTGATTCTCTGCCCCCTCCCCCTGGGTGATTATTTGTGGTTCATTTCCCCATAGATTTTTAAAGTGGACTAGAATATATGCTGAAGCAGAATTGTATTCATCTGAAAGCAACGCTGTTCTTCCTCATTCCTAGATTCGAATTGCAGCCTTAAATGCCAGCTCCACAGTTGAAGATGACCATGAAGGAAGCTTTAAAAGTCACAAAACCCAGACAAAGGAGGCCCAGGTATACTCTCTAAGCTCTCCCTCTAAGGTAGACCTTGCTTCTCATTTCTATAGTTGGAACCTCATTTTAAATGCATTTGACCTCTCAGTGGTGCTTTACTGGCAAAATTCCATTTTGAAAGATTGCTGGCTCTCTGTCTCATGTTAAGCCTGCTTCACTCAGGAGACAGTCATACTGAAGAGCTGTATGTTCTCTGAGTATACGAGTTCAGTCATAGAGTACACTTCCCCAGCTGGGGCCAGCTTTTCATCCATCCTTGCTGTGTGTAGGCATATCTGGGGAACAGTACAGTGTTTATGGTAGACAGTGTTTCAGAGTTACCTCCTATATTGCCTTCAGGTACAGAGACTGCAGAGGGGAACTGCCTGGGATCTTGCTCCAGATCTCTACATGTTTGTGTATCCAGTCTTACCCTTTCTAGGGTATTGATCATGTCTCTACTATGTTGCTTGGTAACTCTCCCATTTCAGCTAGCCTCTGTCTCTTCCTCTTTCTCTTTATCCCTCCTTCCTTTCCTCAATCCCTTCCTTCTCATACCCACTGTCCTAGTTAGCTTTCTAATCTCAGCGCTTGAGAGGCAGAGGCAGGTGAATCTCTGTAAGAGTGAGACCAACCTGGTCTATATAGTGAGTTCCAGCCCAGCTGGGGCTACATAGAGACCCTGTCTCAAAAAGAACAAAAAATAAATAAAACAAACAAACAAACAAAAACCAAAACAGAACAGAACAACCATTCTGACCAAAACCAACTTAGGGAGGCAAGAGTTTATTTGGTTTACATATCCCTGTCACAGTCCATCTTTGAGAGAAACCAAAGCAGGAACCTAGAGGCAGGAGTTGAAACAGAGACCATGGAGGAATGCTGCTTTCTGTCTTGCTTCTCTGGCCTGGCTCAGCCTGGCTTTCTTATACCTAGGCCCACCTGCGTAGAGGTAGCACTGCCCACCATGGACTGGACCATCCCATATCACTTAACAATTAAGAAAACACCTCACAGACATGCCCTAGGCCATCTGGTGGAAGAAATTCTATCATGAGATTCCCTTTTTCCAGGTCTGTCAACTTGACAACTGAAGCTCTCCAGCACACCCATGTTGTCCTCTGATACAAAGCTTTCCTCCTGTCTTCTTCTTTCTCCTATAATAAACTGCCTACATAACCGTGCTTTTTTTTCTTTCTTTTTTTTTTTTTTTTTTTTGGTCTTTTTGAGACAGGGTCTCCCTTGTAGCCTCACCTGTCCTGGAACTCACTATGTAAACCAGGCTGGCCTCGAACTCACAGAGATCAACTTGCCTCTGCCTCCCGAGTGCTGGGATTAAAGGTGTGCGCCACCATACCTGGCACCCCTGCTTTTTTTAGTGAGAGAAACCAGAACAGTTCCAGAGCTCTCGCTCCGAAGTCTACTTGTCCCTGTCTGTGAGGGTTGTCTGTGGGAGTATTATTAGAGGTGATTATTATCCTTTCCAGGCCCAGTGTTAGAGCGCATGTTCACGCATGCACTTGCCCCCTCCCCGACACACACACAGAGGGAGCAGTAGTGGAAATAGTTTATACTGAATTGTTTTTAGTCACAGCACAGTACAGTTTTTTGTACTGTGTGTACAGTTTTTTGATCTGTCACAATGTTGGGGATCAAATACAGTATTCTGATATCAAATGCATAGGGTGATTTTTTTTTTTTTTTTTTGGTACCCCTGTACCAAATCTCTAACTCTGCAGACACTGCCTCATTGTTGTCCAATTCAGTCAGTTCTGGCACTCACCCAGGGTTAGCTTGATACTCCACACATTTTTGTTTTGTTTGTTTGTTTGTTTGTTGACAAGTCTCACTGTCATCCTGGCCGACCTGGAACTCACTATGTAGACCAGGCTGGCCTCAAATAAAGGTCCATCTGCCTCTGACTCCTAAGTGCTGGGATTAAAGGTGTGTGCCACCATACTTGTTAAGACTCCACAAGTTTTAAAAAAATTATTGCATTTATTGTGTGTGTGTGTATGAGTGAGTGGGCGAGGGTACATGTGTGCCACAGTGTTTGTGTGGAGGTCAGAGAGGACAGCTTGGGAGAATTGGTTCTTTCTTGCTACCACATGGGTCCCAGGGATTGAACTCAAGGCATCAGGCTCAGCAGGAAGCATTTTCACTTGCTGAGCCATCTCGCTGGCCCAAGACTCTGCAAGTTTTAATGGCTCAGTCCCACTAGACTTATTTCACATGCCAGTTGTAGGCACTGCCACCCACACATCTTGTCTGGCTTGGCTACAGAGTCGAGGATTCTTGTCCTTCCTATTTTAGATTCAAGAATTTGCTTATATTAATCACAGGACTCGGGAAAGCACTTTAATTACATTTATCAGTTTATTAGAAAGGACACAACTCAGGAAGAGATGCACAGGGCAAGGTGCGGTGCTGAGTACACTACCCCCCTAGCACCTTTATGTGTTCTCCAACTTGAAAGCATCCTAGACTCCATGCTTGGGGAATTTTTAATGGAGCTTCTATTATGAGGGTTACCAGGGAGCAGCTCAATCTCTAGCCCTCCTTCCTTCTTGGAGGTTGTGGGGCAACTGAAACCCCCACCATCTAAATGGTTCTCTGGCTACTAGCCCTATTCTAAAGCTATCTAGAGACCCAACCATCTGTCAGCTCATTAACATAAACTCAGGTGTCATCCAGGAAATAGCAGAAGTTTTAGAAATTCCACATTAGGAACCATGGATGAAGATCATATAAATACTTCTTAGAGGGCTGTGCACATCTTTTGGGTGCTCTCCCCTACTCTGGCCTGTGTGACTTCTCTTCTGGTTTTACCTAGAAAGGGTTCAACCTTGCTTGCTCTGCTCCATGCCCCTGGTGGGCCCAACTTTGACTGCCCTTAACTCTGTGTCCCTACTTTTTATGTTGTCTCTGTTCTTGTCTACACTCAGTGGTGTCTGCACCCCTGTTTTCTTGAGGCGCTCATAAGGACCTCTTTTCCCAGTTATAAGCTCTGGAGACTGCAGTAGTAGTAGCATTTCTTTCACTGTAGAGGCTGTAACTGACAGTTTTCTTGCAGTGACTTACAATCTTCCCCTTACACGTATTTTTGGTTTAAAAAGATTAAACTTTGTATGGTGTGAAAACATCTCTTTTCTTGGTTTGCAGGAAGCAGAGGCTTTTGCCTTATACCACAAGGCTCTGGATCTACAGAAACACGACAGATTTGAGGAGTCTGCGAAGGCCTACCACGAGCTCCTGGAGGCACGCCTACTACGGGAGGTGAGGCACTGACAGGCTGGGCTGTGATTTTTTTTTTTTTTTTTTTTTTTTTTAAAAAAAAAAAAAAAAAAAAAAAAAAAAGAGGACGATAAATCTTTCACTGTGATATATCAAAATAA